AGTCAAATGCTGACTGACGTTTTTCATACTTATTGTTAGTCCATTATTTATACATTGAATTGACGACGGATTTTTTCGTTATTTCCCGATCTTGACAAGGAGATCATGACGGGTGTGAGCGGTCAGCAGGGGATGCTCACCCCTCAATGGCACCTGATCCCACCTCTGATGTTTCGGAGGTCTGTGTTTGCTCTGCTCCTATTTAATATTGATTTATGGACTTTTATATTGAATACTGTTTGTTATCTCCATATCCTTCTCTTGACAGCTTTAAATCTCATATCTGAAAAATTCAGCTATATCTAACCGATAACTTGTTGACCGCCCAGACTCTTACTATGGATCACTTAATTTTCATGACACCTTATTTTTGCGAGATAGCCATTGATTTTTGAGGCGCGAGACAAAATTTTCACGAATTGTGGTAATCGCTCTAAATAATACTATATACAATTATTGCTGTTTTTGAGGTCAATACAATGATTTAGCCATCTGAGGAGTACAATACTCACGTGCAGGTCAATACAACGTAGTATTTTCTACATAGTTGGATCCAGCCAATCCGAGAGATGGAAATTATTCAATCATAAAATAATATGGAATATTAAACGCGAGAATTAATTTTTGTGATCACAATGTCTCGTGTAATTACACGAAAATAAAGTGCTCGGGAATAAAAAGTGATTCACAGTAATAGTTTTGGTGGAACATGTACTTAAAATACCCAGATGGTAAGTTTATAGAGCTCTCCGTCAGTGATAAAAAGTGCTTGTCACAATTAATTACCGAGTCTAGATATATCCTAAAAATTTTACTGTAGATAAATATGTCTTGCATTACATATTGCAGATCACTTTGTCAACTGCATGTGAAATTTAGCCAAAAAAAAGTGCTTCTTTACACTAATGTTTCTGGGTTTTTTAAAGTTTTCCCTAGAAGTGTAAGTGATCTAGCCCTTAGCATTGAACGTTTTGCTCTTCAGATATTTGATACCTATACTAATAAAACCTGTCAAGACGTAGCAGTGTTCATTCAGTCAATTTCAAAGGAATTATTTTTGAATTGTTTAGTTATGTAACACACAAATAAGTTCTCACGAATAACGGAAAATGAGATGACAGATCTAATAAGCACATGCTAAATTTACAACAAGCACAATATTCCACCTCCTGCATCATCTAAATCACAACTCCACCCCTTGCACTCTCTGACCCTCCATTTGGAGACTCTATCCTCCCACATTTTACACCAAGCCTAAGTTTTCCTGGTAGTGTAGGCTAGAGATTTGGATATAAATATTTGTTTTGTTATTGTAGTTTATTCAAAAGAGCTTGCTTAATTTTTTGACAAAATTCATTTCATTTAAATTTTCAGCTGTATTTATTAATATTACATAGACATGATAACTAATTTTAACTAGTAGGAACACCCCTCTCCCTTCCAAAAATAAATCCGTTTGTAGGTTATGATACATTACCTTATACTAGTACATGCACTCTATTTGGCTTATTTTCAATCTTATGCATTCTAATGATCTTTAAGGAAGTAAATTTTTCAGGATCTTTTTTTAAATAATTGGTAAGAAAAATGATGTCGTTTCTCGGAAGAAATCTACAGGATATTACACAATTTGCAAGAGATAAAAGATTTATTAAGATATAAAATTTGTCATGAAGGTGAAATTTAAATGTTTGAGGAAATTAAAAAAGAAGGTGAAGATAGGGATCTTATTAAAACTCAACAATTATGTGAACAGGGAATAAAAACGTACACTCGGGAATTCAAGAGATTTTTAAGAGGTGCGATCAGAAGCTGAGGAGTTCCTTTATGATGATAAGTTGAGAATAACCAAGCACCCTATTTCTACCAGGTTAAAATTGTTTTAACATTTCATGTGATAGGTAGCCCCACATGCTTCATCATTTTACAAATTAAGCCATAGAATCGAAATGTTTAGTTCTTAAGGTTTGCTCTGGGGTCTTAGTAGCAACAATATCTTAATTATAAAACTAGGCCAGAGAATGCTCCGGGAGAAGGTAGGAAGCTTCTAAAACAAGTTCATAAAACAAGAAAATCTTTTGTTTCGTTTAGTTCTAGAGTCAATGAAATGTCCTTTTCAGCAAAGAAAATCTAGTAAAAATACTTATAGGTAGACCATACACTGAACTTTCCACGAATCTTTCCGTTTCCTCGACATGATAAAGCACATGGCGGTTGTGACCGATTGACAAGGGATTATTACTTCTCCATGGCACCTGATCCCACCTCTGATATTAAAAGGGCCCGTGTTTGCTCTGCTCTTGATTTTTATTATATAAAGTGACTTGAACTCTCCATGTTTCACATTAATTCCTATAATGTAGCAATCGACAGGGTAAATATGAAATGCGTTGAGCAATTATTTGTGTTATTTAAGGGAAACTTAATGCTTTATCATGCATGTTTAATAAAAAGAAAATGTATGAGGAAACAGATATCCCCAGACGTCGAGCATTCTAGATCTGTGAAAACTATCCATTTTAATTTAAAACTTTATCATTGTTAATGTCTTTGTCCACGTGCATGCATTATTATTTTTGTAAACTTTTTCACCGGATACAAAAGATTCTCTGAATTAAAACGCTGGTTTTTCCTCAATCACACAATAGACAGCTGCATGAATGCCACACATACACGAGATGCATTGTGCAGCGATAAACACTCTACTTCTTGTGTCACAATGACCTATTTGTTTGGCCATTTGTTAAGATCTGTATCGGCTTTTGGTTGTGTGTTAGTTGTCACTGAGGTTTTCAAGCTCGTTTTCTAGATTCCCACATAATACTGAACTAATTTTAATGTTAAATACTTAAAAAGAAGTTACTTAAAGACGTTTTTTTTTGGTAAAAGAATAGTCTTAACTATAATTTCTTTTTTTTTACAAAACTTTGTAAAGGTAAAAAAAATTTTTCTCGTAGCATGACTTCTAAAAAAAATATTGCAATTCACATCCTTGATATACAAAATTGATCATATGTTTTGTTTCCAAAAAGGATTCTTGACTTCGACACAATAACTTCAAGGAAAGATAATTCCACTCGGGAGATAAATCGTATTGGTCTGTGTAATTTAAGTAAATTTGAAATTAATACTAGTAATCGAAACATTCTTCAACAAGAGATTAATGGGCCAAATAGTAAATAAACGACACATTCTTCAGCAAGAGATTCATGGGCAAACTCTTACCTGAGTTACCTTAGCCCTGCTATTCTTCGCTGGATTTCCCCCAAGTGTACATGAGTTGAACAATAAATAATCTCACTACCTCAAGATGCTTTTACATACGTACGTTTCAGATTTTCTGACTCAGTGTTTTTGAGAAGATAATTAATGACCCAGCCCTATTTTTGTTTATTTTTGATTATATCTCCTTATAAGGTACGATATATCCTGGTGAGCTTGAGATAAAAGATATCAAGAGTCTAATAAGAGGTAAGTTATTAACAAGCAAGTTGATGAAACAAGAATATCAACAGTCTCGTTTAAAGTCATCATTTTGTAAGTTCTATGGTCGATGCAATGACCTTGTCAGCAAATACAATTTATCATTGAGACAAATGCTGACTGACGTTTTTCATACTTATTGTTAGTCCATTATTTATACACTGAATTGACGTCGGATTTTTCCGTTATTTCCCGATCATGACAAGGAGCACACGGCGGGTGTGACCGGTCAGCAGGGTATGCTCACTCCTCCATGGCACCTGATCCCACCTCTGATGTTTCGGTGGAAGTCCGTGTTTGCTCTGTTCCTGTTTTGTATTGTTTTATGGACATAGATTTGGTACTGCGTTGAATACAGTTCGTGTATCTCCATATCCTTCTTGTAAGGGGCATTCGTTTTTCAACATTTTAAACTTCTTTTGTTAAGAATGCTTTTATCTCCATATCCTTCTTGTAAGGGGCATAATTTTTTCAACTTTGGAATGCTTTGAAAATTTGGCCCAGTGCTTTAAAGAAGAAGATTACTTTATGAACACTGAAAAAAAAGCTAGTAATTTAAGTCACTATAAGAAGACTAGTGAATTTACTACCCATACAATCACTACCTTAAAAGTAGTTTTACTTGGTATTGAGTAGATACCATTAGTAAATCTAAAATTGATAAGCTACTTTCACTAAGTTAGTTGGTATCTATACGCCCCCCACTCCACGTGACACCTACTACTCACTATCTTAGCTAATATAGTAATAATATATTTTATAGTAAACAGAATGATTACTAATCACGAAGAACGCTTTACTTGGCACATTTGTTAAATTACCTAGGTATTTCTTTCAGTGAAAAGCATGCAGAAGACGGGTGGACAGCTAGACAGACGGATACACAACGGGTGATCAGAAAAGCTCGCTTGGGCTTTTAGCTCAGCTAAACTAAAATAAATAGTATCCAAGCACCTTTAATTGATTTCCAAACACTTCCTTTAAAACATCAGAGGCTAATAATTTCCTCAAATCAAGTATTGTGTTTGTACAAAAGCTTCTTTTGTCCCTGTATTAGCCCTGATTAAGATTCCTGAAGAAATGCTGATGAAATTGTAAAAATTATTTCTAAAAATAAGTCCACGCATCTTTTAATTATAGAAAGCCGTAGAGTATGTACAGAAAGCTGTAGAGTACCACCAGATAATAATTATTTTTATAAATATTTCCCATAAAATCGACCGACAACTTAGTTTATTATATTATACTTTCATGTAAATTAGTTTAATCTGATTGGTCGAGAAACATTTGTTAAAAAACACTATTACCCGCTGAATAATGAATCCACGCCCTCCAGCGTAGCAACAGTCAACAGTGCTTGACGACAGGGGATATTCTAAAAAATAGCGACTGCGCAGAATTTATGCGCACACGGTTCACTGTTATATGTATTTGTATAAAACATTCAGCATAATGTAATAAATATTGCAATGTAGTTGGGTGTAACATTAATAATTTTCACCCCTCGAGAACCATTGGCTGCGCCTCGGTTGACAATGGTTTTCTTGGTGTGAAAATTTTCAATTTTACACTCAACTACATGCAATATTTACATAATAGACCCCTGATATAAGACTAGCAATTATTACTTAGACGCGTAAAATGTGATAATGAGTTATTATTATAATTTAACGAATTGATATAAAAAAAAATGGGTTCCCGTGAATAAAGCTAACACCAGGAAAACAATTCTTTGGTGTCGAAGATACAGTTTCCGCCTTTTTCATTTCCGTTTCACAGAAAACGGGAAGCATAGAGTAGACCTTTGACATTTTTTTTTCAAGTGAGAATGTGCAATATACATTATACCATCCAATATTGAGAAGGAATTTCAATCATATAGTAATGCGCTAGGGTGTGTTAGGCTTGCTAGCAAGCAAACTGCCTGGTTGAAATGGAATGTTGCTAACGCAAACAGTTAAATTATCCCTCGGAAAGTCTATTTGAACATGTTAATTATGCTCAGAACCTATCCAGACATCTGAGAAGACACGGGGTCAGATTACTATAAGCATCGCCCTGTAGATATGTTACACCCTCATTTACTTCCTGTCATGTTCGGGTAAATTGAAGAATCCATAGATAAACAGTGTGAAAAAAAGCAGAACAATTTTTTTAAAAGGTGAAAATTTCACTGTAAGTATTAGTCATAATAAGTAAAAGTAAAATCAACATTTCGTAAATTTTTTTCTATGCTCGTTTTCATGACCTTGTTTGATAATCAATGGATTGTATTTTGCCTAGCATGCTTCAAATTCATTGCTAGGCCTTTGCATTATTTTAATCAATACATACATTTAGGGTTCACTCAGGGTTTGCCGAAAGGGGATCTTACTGATCTCACGGATCTGGCACAACCTCTGGAATTTCCAGGACATTTTGAATAATTTGAAGATTTTTGTTATATCAATCACTGTTCCATCACCTCAGTTTTATTAAATCAATATCGGGACAGGCATATGAATTCTGGCACCCTCACTTCAACCTCACAATATGTCAGGCCATGCTATGTTTTAGATAGTGCACTTTTCAACGTGCTTGCACGTTCGGAATGACTCGGGATTCAGATATGTAAATATTTATGTGCTGTCGATATTTATAAACTACGGACGTATTGAATATCGACCACATAACTCTGTGCAGTAGGTGGAATTCTACAAACATTATAACGTACGTATAAGCTAATTTATTATGTTTAATTAAAGAAACAAATGGATTTAACATGTGCAATACATGTATAAGTGTTTTCTCCTGCATAATATATGCCAGCAGCATGCAGATGCAGATCATGTATATGCGGCATGTATACTCGCTTCTCATTATATCGCGGGTTCCATTGTATCGCGGTATATTCCAAAAATTCAGATACACAGCTCATATCCTCTCTGTTTAAATACTATCTGTTTGTCGTCCGAATGTAAACTTTTGTGACGATTCAAAAGTATGGAACATGTGTCAGTAATTTTTTATTCAAATAAAACGTAATTTTACAGATTTCCATTACCGTTTATAACATATTTAGATCAATGATTTTATAATCTAGTAAAAGCCAGAATAAAGTTCATGTCTCGAAAGTCTTTGGTTTGTATAAATGTTTACTTTTAATGTAGAATTACACCGTAAATATAAAAATAAAAATTGAAGTCCATGTCAGCCACAAGTTTCCATGTTTTCCTATACCGTATTACTACAATGAAGCGCATTGAAGTGGTAAAATTTTCCATTTGGACGAAACGTTCTGAGTCATGTTTTGAACGTCAATTATAAAATAACGACACGCCCATTTCTTTAGAAACGAGAAAGGAATATTCGTCGTATTGTTTTAGGACACTACACTTTCCGTGACAAGCAACATGAGTTAAACTGAAATGAAGATTTTTAAATGAAGAAGAGCTATGTAAATAGAGTTCCCGCTTATGTAAAACACGCATTGCAACGGATTTGTACATAAATATGATTTTATTATGTTGATTGGAGTTACTATAACACATGTATCGGTCGAACACGTGCTTACTCGGTGTTTATGTAGACCGTCAATTTCATTGGCTAATTATATTTATGAAATACCTGTTCTACGGGTATTCGATTGAATCATTTGACCGAATTTTCCTTTCTAAAGAAATGGGCGTGTCTAAAGATAACTCAAAACGTTCCATCCAAACAGAAAATTTTACCACTTCAATGCGCTTCATTGTACAAGTATGCCAAATTTGATGCCTGTCGAGCAATGGACTAAATAATATTTAACCCTAGATCTTTCATCCTTTTATTAACTCGTTACAATGAAGCGCATTGAAGTGGTAAAATTTTCCGTTTGGATGAAACGTTCTGAGTCATGTTTTGAACGTCAATTATAACATAATGACACGCCCATATTTTAAGAAACGAGAAAGAAATATTCGTCGTAATGTTTTAGGACACCCCATTCTTCGCGACAAGCAATATGAGTTACACTGAAATGGAGCTTCAAAAAATTAGAAGAGAGAGTTAGAGACTCCCCGCTTCTGTAAAACACAAACTGCAACGAATATGTACATATTTTTGAACTTATCATGTCCATTGAAGTCAACACAACACATGTTTCGGTCGAACACGTGTTTACTCGGTGTTTATTTAGACCGTCAATTTCATTGGTTATTATATTTATGGAAAACCTGTTCTACAGGTATTCGAATAAACAAATTGACCGTTTTATCCATTTCTAAAGAAATGGGCGTGTCATAAGATGACAATAAACGTTCTAAAGATAGCTCAAATCGTTCCATTCGAACGGCAAATTTTACCACTTCAATGCGCTTCATTGTAATTGGAAACAACCTTCCAAGTCTGGTGTCTGTCAAGCAAAGAATTCTCAAATTATTGATTGAACAGTATTTCCCTTTGTCCAAAATATTGTTGTATTTGAACTGATAAATATCAATAGGACCATCTCATTTTTTAGGTTTCCAGTGTTCCAAGTTTAATAATCTCTGGTAAACAAAGGGTTTTTAAGATACGAATCGGACAATTGGGTCTACAGCCCTACTGACATACTACAATGAAGCGCACTGAAGTGGTAAAATTTTCTGTTTGGATGAAACGTACTGAGTCATGTTTCGAACGTCAATTATAACATAATGACACGGCCATTTCTTTAGAAACGAAAAAGAAATTTTCGTCGTAATTTTATGGACACCCCACTCTTCGTGACAAGCAACATGAGTTACACTGAAATGGAGATTTTTTAAAGTTATGAGAGAGAGAGTTATAGAGTTCCCGCTTCTGTAAGACACGTATTGCAACGATTTTGTCAATAATTATGACTTTATCATTACCGGCCGCCAGGAGGCGGTCGGTTATATGATATGAAAGTTTTAAGTCACCGTGCGTTTCTGCGGAGTTAGAACAATTTGAATAAAAAATATTTAACATTCATGTAATAGAATATTAAGAAAGAGTGTCTGAATGTAAGTTAAAAACGCATAATAATCATCAAACTAATATTTTATGAATAATGGGTTAAATGTTTCATCCAATCCTGATTGACAAATTCCTACGTAACTGAAGTGCGGAGAAATAAGCACACATGTTGGGCATAGTCTAAAGCAAGGACCGCGTTATATGATTGCCTAAACAAATTTTACTTTCTCTACTTCAACAGGATTTGTTGTATATATAATTTAAAATGACGTAAAATATAAATACACAATGTACTTTTAATACGGAAAATTTTCAAAATCATGACTTAATCTTAATTTATTATCAGACAGAATATTAGGAGATTTTTCTCCAACAGACAAGGATAAAGCGCGTTTTACGACATGCCAAGCCTTTTCCCGCCACATCTCACACCAAAACAAGACAGAGAAGAAATGTAGTGGCGGATCTAGAGGGATTTGGGGGTTTCAACATCCTCTGAGCGAGCGAGGAGCCCCATATAGTTGTTACGTTTTATTTAATGTTAAACTATCTCTAGTTAGATAAGTTTAAACGTTAGTTTTAATGGTTAAGTGTTAAAACTACTTAAACATCAAACTTCCGCCAGAGTTCGTTAATAGTACCAATTAAACTTACTGGGTCAGGGGACGCAGAGGGCTAAGAGTAAGTTGCTTAAATACATTGTACATGTAGCAATGTACATGTATTATGTACTGAAGAAAATCCTGGGATGTCGCATTCAAATGTTTAATGTCACAGGGATATATTAATTAACAGATAAATATAAGAATTCAGTTTCTAATTTATTATATGAAAGAATTAATTAATTGGTTTGCGGCCGATTTTTGACGCTTGCGTCAATATGTTTCTTGTATTTATTTGAGTTACCACAACACATGTATCGGTCGAACACGTGCTTACTCGGTGTTTATGTAGACCATCAATTTGACTGGCTATTATAGCGAGCGCAGCGAGCGTCGCTTTCGAGCGTCGCAAAGCGACGCTCGCGAAGCGAGCTCAATAGACTAACGTGTATGAACAGAGGAAATTCGGATTGAAATCTGTACATACGTCAGCCAAATTTCTCTGTGCAACATTCCCAGAATTCCTGCACTACCCAATGTCCTTTGCGCGAATAAATCGAAAATAGTAAAAAAATTAAAGGAACATTGTTTCTTACCGAAATCTTAACGAAATGATTTTGCCTTACCTTATTAAAAAAAATACCCCCATGCCACAACACCGGCCTTCACCTTGCCCTTCGGAAATGATACAAATGACGTCATCGGAAACTTACGAATTTTGACGAAGTTATGTCGGTTGCTTCCGTGAAACTCGGAAAACATGTTGCGGTGCATAGCAACATGGTGGCTAAAACATAGCAACAACTCACTTGAAAAGAACGATTTAATACAATCTCTTTTCCATAAAACTAGCGTTTGCGTCCTAAGTCAACAGAATTTTTTTCTGACGTCATACTTTCGTCACTTCAACGGTTCGGGTATTTCCGATTTTGTCGGAAACTTCCGAGAAGTTTGGAATCTCGATCCCGATGCTTGGGAAATGATTTCTTTTTATTGTTTTTGTTGTTTTATTCTTTTTGCTTTCTTTTTCTTGAATGATAGACAGTATATGTGTAGGTTTATGATAGTAAATAAACTGCGCTCGCCCCAACGGTCACACCGTAAAACATATTATTTATGGAAACCTGTTTTACAGGTATTCGAATGACCGAATATTCCTTTCTAAAGAAATGGGCGTGTCGTTTTATGACAATCATCGTTCTAAAGATAGCTTAAAACGTTCCAGTCAAACGGAAAATTTTACCACTTCAATGCGCTTCATTGTATGAGACTCTACAATTTAGGAGGTAAATAAGACTTCCCGTTTTAAAAATAGACAACAAATTAAACAGTGCAAACTTGAGAAATAATTTGACACTAAAAAGTTAGGCCATAGATTGGTTTATGGATAGTATTTGATGAAAGTTAAAGTAAAAAATTGGAATAACAATTTTTAATCAAAAGGATTAAGTACCGCGATATTATGAGGCACCAGTATATACAATTTTGACGTGTTATACTCCCTCTGGTATTTTGTGAAGTATTGAAAATAGATATATTTCCATTTCTATGAAACTACATGTATTTGAAGGTTAGTAGTGAGGTTTTTTTTTTTTGATAATTGGCAATACGTCGTCGATATATAAATATAGCCTTTTGATTAGGTCGATCCATAGATAAATCTACTTAATTCACAGAAAAGCATGTCGACCGGTCGATATGCTTTTCTGTGAAGTCCGATCGATCACACCCGCTGTATGCTCCTTGTCATGATCGAGAAATAACGAGAAAATTCGTCGACAATATTCAGTATGTAAATACTGTAACGGTTTCTTATAGTTATTATGGAATATAACAGTAAGTCCGTTTCAGGGTTCGATCATCTCCATTTATTCACACACAGATGATTATATAAATAGGAAATTGGTAACAGGATAATAGGAAAATGACCTGAAAATTATAATAACAAATAATAAATACATAGCATAAAATATTCTAATACATGTTTATCCATATCAATATAGTTATTACAATCTTCGGTTAACAGATACGCTGAATAAAGGGAGGTAACTCTTCACATGAATTACACATTATCAAATAGATGAAAACTCCCTTTCAATATTATACTCTTTGAAAAATAATAAAACCTTTATACAACAAAACTGATCTATATTTTACAATAATGTCTACACAAACTTTACCATTTCTGGATAATCATAAAATATATAAAACAATAATTTCATACCTATCTATGGGATCGAGCCTCTCCCATTCATGAGTGTTAATAATATGGCTCACAGGGTCCAGATCATATAACTACAAATTATCATAGTTTACATAAATAAAGCTATCATCATAAAAATATATACATATTTAAATTAAGTAAAAACTACTATCTGTATCAATAAAACAGTTACTTTAAATACTAATCTCTCAAATCAGATTCTGACTGTGCAAGTGCTATAGAATTTACTTTGCAGTTAAATCAAATATTAGAAATCATATTAGAATTAGTATATAAATATTAGCTTACCTAAATAGAGAGAAATATCAAATGTCAAAAGTCTGATATTACAAATCTGTAAATATAGTCCTCTCTACTCAAACACTGGACAAAGAATGACCATAAAAACAACAACTTTTGGAGGGAAAATAAGCAAACTAATAAAACACAACCGTACAAAGTCCAAACCAATGAAAATGATGGATACTACAAATCAAAGACCAAAGACCAGAACCTTCATACCCCAAGGCAATAATAATTAAGTACAGGTACTACCTGTTCCACCTCGGTGACCTTTAAATATTTTTAGCAATGCATTTATGTACAAATTAAAAACATTAAAATGTAATATAGATTTATCAAATAAATTAATAAATCTAATACTGTAACAATACTAGTATTAAATAGCCAAACAGTAGGAAAACACCAGTCAGCATTTGAGTTAATGGCATGAATACAACATGCAGTATGTTTGCTAATAACAGGCTTGTTTACTGTACTATGCTTGCGTATCAAATCATATATTTAAAAATTTGAAGAAATTCCTTGACCTTTCCTGTCATGGATCTAACACACCAGGTATATTCATTACAGAGAATGGATCTTAAATTTCAAAGGGCGATCACTTGAAAAACTATTCTATAGTATAAATATTCAAGTCAAAAATTTCCTGTATAAAAGAGCGATATGTTAAAGCATTCTTTCAATTTTCTTTTTACAGTTACAAGTGAACGATGAGTGATGAAAAGGCAGAAAAAATGGCCCAAGATGCAGTTCGTTGTAGTCAATGCACAAATGTGGTCGCTGTTCGATGCAGAAGCTGTGGTCTTAACCTTTGCAGAGATTGTAGAAACAAACATTTAGAAAATGAAGCACAGAAGCATGAAATTGAGCCGTACAAGCCACAGGTATCCTCTCCAGACAGATGCATTGATCATTCTCAAGAAAACGTCCTGTACTGTCAGGATTGCACAGTTCCTATTTGCTTTCAGTGTCTTTTGGGAAACCATGAGGGACACAGAAGTGCAAACTTGTCCAAAATCACCACAGCAACTCAAAGCGCTGTCCAAAGCGACTTACTGGAATTAAGGCACTTCAAAAATGAATACGAAAATGTTGTGCAGAAAATGATAGAAAAGTTTTCTGAGTATGCAGATCACAGTAAAAAAGAAGCAGATACTCTAGAAGAGTTGAGGAAAACTTGGCATGAGAAAGTTGATGTCACGATAGACAAATTCAAAAAGAATGTGGATGACATGGCGAGAGAAGACAAGAAACACATGCAGGATAGTATTGAAGAAATGCAAGCGATTTTAAAGCGTGTGGAGAACTGCATTCAGGAAAACGAGAAACTTTTGAAAGATAACAAAGTCTTGAATCTCCTTAAGTACGAATCTATGGTCGAGGAATTGCAACTTGTTCCTAGTAGAGAAGTCATACTACCGCCAAAAATAATTCCCTCAGATATTTCGGAAGAACAGATTATTAAAAAGCTTTTGACACTCGAACGCTCCAATAGAACAACTTTACCAGGATTTGCCATTAGCAAAACCTGTGGGGTAACGGCAGTAGCGGCCCGCATGTTACTGGAAGAACCAGAACCTTTAGCTATTATAAAAACCAACAGCGGAAAATTAAAAGGAATTTGTTGTGAAGCAACAAAGGGGGTGTGGGTTTATGGAGATGATGAAAAACTCAAGCAGTATGACAAACATGGCACTCTGCTGAAGTCCATAGCTGCGATTTCGGGAAGTAGTCAGAAAGACATTGCGGTAAACAAAAACGGCGATGTTGCTTTTCCACAGATCACGGATGAATGTGTCGAAGTACTACTTGTCGGAAAAGACTGCATCGAGAAGATGATAAAAATAACTGACTGGATACCATTTGGTCTTTGCTTCAACACAGAAGACGACTTGATGGTCTGCATGCGACGAAACGACTACTCAGAGGCCAAGATTGGCATATTTTCTGAAGGCAAATTGAAAAAAGAAATTCAATTTGATGATAATAATAGGGCACTGTTTTCTGTAGGCCGGAACAACATGTATGTCACCGAAAATGGAAACGGGGACATTTGTGTTTCCGACTGGAACGCCTCGGCTGTCGTCGTGACCAAGAAAACCGGCGAATTCCGATTTCGTTACACTGGAAATCTCTCTCGCAGCTACAAAGAATTCTATCCACATGGAATAGATACTGACAACTATTGTCGTATTCTTGTTGTTGATCGCGACAATAATTGTGTCCACGTGATCGACAGGAACGGGAATTTCTTACGCTACATCAACTGCAGTTTGAAGGACCCCTTCGTTCTCAGCATTGATGGTGACGAAAACCTCTGGATTGGGGAGAACAGTGAATCGTGCATCAAAATTATTAAGTATTTGGATTGATACAGAAAAAAGTAACTTTGATAAAGAGATCCCTTATGAATCTCCAATTTTTTTTATCATATCTTGCATTTATGTTTTCAGTTTGAGAATGCAGTATGCACACACAAGTGTTTTCATTTTTCATACGATGTTTTCGATTCATTGAGTAGGGGTTACGTTTCTTTAAATGGTGAGATGTTAACGTTGAATGTATACACTTCTTGGTGGTATTTTACACGATTTCACCTAACTTGGTGTCTAGGGAACAAATTACTAGTATGCCATTTTTATTTTAACATCTTGCGTATAACAACTTAAGTCGTGATTATATAAGTAAGCTGAATAAATTTAACCGTATGGATTTTTTTTTAATTTTTCAATTGAAGTTTCTCAATGATGGAATCTAAAGTCCCAAAGAAATGTAAAGACTACATGTACTTAGGTTGGTTGCAGGATGAAGTTAATTGTGGACATAGTAAAAAGTGTACACTTTCTTTATATTCTTAAAGTTGAATAAGATTTTAAAGTCGCTAAATTCGAAACAGACACATATTATCTTACACAATAAAAATACTTCATTACATACCGGTACTAGATAGTATTGAAAAATAAATTATAAGATTGATTTAAGAGTTCACTATAATCCTTACAAAAAAAAACAAAAAAACATAGATTAAAAACTTTATAGACAAACAGAAGTTCCTGACGGGAAGTTAAGATCTGTTGTGAAGTCACCTGTGAAAAAAAAAATAAATTCATCGGTTATATCTAATTATGAAGATAATTCAAACCCAAGTACTTTTTTTTCCATTAGTAGAAGCCTAGGTCATAATATACAAATGTATCTTTCTTAATAAATTAATAAATTATTTATTGAATATAATCTATAGTAAGTTTTATATTAATATGCATATTTAAAGAATAAAGGAAAATCAGAATGATATTTTTGAAATCTTATTTTAAAAGGAAGTTTAGTAACGAAGGCTAAAATATTGTCCGTGTACAGGTATAAGTACTTTGTTGTTGAAAAAAAGGCTCGAGTTTGTTCTTAAATGAATAAGTTTATAAAGTTAACTTTTTAACCGAAGGCCTTCTCAGAAGATTTGATTACCGACCCACTTCAATTCCCATTGAAGTTTATAAACTTGTTATTTATTACTTATATATACATTTAAGATAGACAATTAAATATTAAATTATATATATTCAGATATAAATATTGCAATAAAAAGTCGCTGTAGATTTCCGTCAAAAGTACTGAAGGTTGTAAATCGGCTTGAAAGGCGGTTACGCTTCGAATTCATCAGGCGAAGAATTCTATTTCGAAGGGAAAATTTTGTTAAATGCCACTTGTGATCAGTAATAGTGAACAGCTTGTTGTTTGGGAATATTTTTGATTGTGAAAATTGATAATAAATGCTGAAAAGATACAAGAAACATGTCCGAAGATTGATGATAAAAAGTTGGAGGAATTTCGGTCGCCGGAAAAGGATGGATGGATCCGAAAATGGAAAAACTTGCCCGAGCCAGTTAATTTGCAATCAAGTATTAAATTTGATCAAAAACATTCAACCTACGATTCCAGTAACTAAAGGCATATTTATGATGTAAACATGGAGACACTGGCGACAGCTTACATTGAAGTATCTACCTAAAGCGCCGATCGAAGTGTTTCTCAGCTGTTCGTGGCGTGATTGCACCGCTTTGATATTTTTCAACAGATTTATACATTTATCATGATAAGAATTTACATGTAATGAAAAAAATAAAGTTTTAGTCTATTCATGAAATTTTAACCTAAGGTACATTGATACTCTGATAAGAGAGATAACTCTTAATGACACAAATGTCTATTATTCCTTTATAAATTTGTCAAGTTTAAGTGCCTTTTTTGTCAAATTTTTGTTTGTTTGTATTTTATCCAGCATATACATTTGCTTTGGAAAATCATAAAAGTTAGAGAAAAAAATCATATGAGAGAGCAGAGGGTTTATGACCCTTAAGGTCTACCAAAAAATAAGGATAAACGTTAGCGACAGTGCAGCTTACAAAAGTGACATAGGCCTAAACTATTTCTATACAATGTTATGCCTAGTAGGCTAAACAAAGGCTAGTTTCTATCGGTATATTCATAATTCTCTATGTACATACATGAAAATGTAGGTTAAATCGATCTCCAAAAATGTATGAAGTACTTGTTTATGTTGTAAATAAAACAATTATTTTACTTATTACTTGCTTATTTTGTTCATTTTTTTTATACATGAAAAGCAAGCAGAGCAAGTCATTTTTTATGTACCGGTAGATATTGCGCTGTGTGATTCGGCCATGTATTGACCTCTGACAAACTTCATACAGAATTGAAGATATTTTCTCTCTGTATGTGTATATAATGGAAAGATACCACAAATATATATATTTTAAAATAAATAATGTATATAATATAAAGGAGAATATTCTAAAAATCAATAAAATTGCTGCGCAAACCCTATGCACTTTCTCAATTGATACAACATTTCACCAACAATTGACATTAATTTCTTAATTTAGTTCAGTTGATATGTCGTTGCATCAAAAACATAGTGTGTATTCAAGACAAAAAGGTTCATTCCAATACGGTGCAAGTATCTCCTTATCTTGAAGAGGGACCAGAAGTCCGATGATTAATTCTGAGGCAATCAAATACTTTATTTCTTTGTCTAAGTATCCAAAACCAGTAGTCTGAAGTACTCGTTAAGGTAGAATGCCACACCAACTTTTTATTTTATAAATTTTGAGTCATCCTTTTAAAACAAGGGTTTTAGCATTGAAAGGTCCAATTAGCTCTCAATTATTTTATATGAATTTTTTTGTATTTTTTCAAAGAAAATTAAAAAAATTAATTACATCCAATTAAGATGTTTTCGAGTTAAAAGTTTGCTGTAAATGAATTATCATTCAATATCTAATAAAATATGTAAAGAAAGGCGGGTTTAAACTTTTAAATTTTTTTGAAAAAAAAATATTTATGAAAATAAAACTCATTATTTGTGAATATTTTTTAAACCTATGGTTAAAATCACCATAAAAATAGCACAACTGGGCAACATGTTTGTCAATCAAATTTTTAAAAGAAATTGAAATGAAATTGCACAATTTTAGAGAAATTTTAAAAATTTTTTAATATTTGGACCTAACCCGACCAAAATTAAACTGATCCCGATCAAAATTAATCAAAAAAAATAAAATGCTAATTTACCGCCTCTATATGTATTTACAATGAAGAGATCTATTTAATTGTCAGGTTCATTAATGTTTTAACCTTATTAAATTTCATAACTGTGTCTTTGGGAAATGTATTTATTTCCAATAAATATACAATTATGGTTGGGATGGTTTAATTTTGATGGGATTGGCCAAAATTAAAAAAAAAAAATTTCTCTAAAATTTGGCCATTTCGTTTCAATTTCTTTTATAAATATGATTAACGAACATGTTTTCCCCCGTTGTGACTGGTTTTAAGAAAATTTTAACCACACATTAAAAAATATTCACAAATTATGTGTTTTTTTTCATAAATATTTTTTTATTTAAAAAGTTTTAATATCTATACGGCTTTTCTTTAAATATTTTATTAGATATTAATGTGATGCATTCATTTACAGCGAAATTTTTTCAAGAAAACGTTTATTTTGAAAGAAATAATTTTTTCATTTTCTTTGAAAAAATACAAAAAAAACAAAAAAAAAGAAAAAATCATATAAAATAATTAAAAGCAGATGTCGACCTTTCAGTACTGAAACCATTGTTTAAAAAAGGTTGACTCAGAGATCTATAAAATAAAAAGTTGGTGTGGCATTCCTCCTTAAGTAAGGGAATGTATAAATGGATTTTTTTGGAGCGCTGACATGTACATTAGTTACTTTTACACTAGCTATAGGACAATGTATGGAAGCTCTTTTACAATAAATAAACTCACCATTTTAAATTTAACAAAAATAACGGTTTATTAATAATAAATATATATGTGTAAAAATAACGACAATCACCCTATTCTCAACTCCCAGCCTTTACATGAAAGTGTCCCTAACGCAGTAATTAAAGGGAACACTGAAAAAAATATGGTAATGAAGTCATAATGAGGTCTGACGTCATGACAGTTCTCGCCCTGATTGATCCATATAAGGAAATGGTGCTCAAAATAACTATTTACCAATACTGGCAACAATTTTAGGCCTAATAAAAAAAATATCTTATGTTTAAAAAAAATAAT